ATGCAATATATCATATATAATATAAAGTATAAATATTTTCTTAGAATGACAGAGAAATTCATAGATAATTAATTGTTTGTATTTATTGATTATATATCATATAATACTAATAACAGGACACTCATTTTCAGAAATGTAATGTTTCTCATTATAAAAATATCTTCCCTTTGGTCCAGAGCTATTATGTGTTTAGGGGCTTATTAGTATTCATGAGCTACCTCATTGCAAAAGGGTGCCACAGGGGCTGTGAGTGAGAACGTGGTGCTGCAGTCGGCAGGAGAGAGGGGAGGCTCAGTGGCTTGTGCTGGTGGGGGCCAGGGATTCTGCTGGAACATTCAAGTTGCTGCAACAGCCTGAAAAGAACTTACAGCATCATCTGCACAGCAAGGAATACAGGGCATCATTTATTTACTCATGGCTTGCATTCTTGGGAAAATGGGTGGAGTAAAAATGAGGGCCCATGAAAATAAACACCTAAAATATTCTTTTATACATCCTCAGTAATTCTAAGAGAATGAAGGAAATGCTGTTATTTTAGCAATGGCTAATAATTTCAGATTTTCTCTATGAAAGGATATACTTCCAGATATTACATTGGTGAGTTTATGGACAAGTATTTTTCTAGCTTTCTTATCACTGTCTTACTATCTTTCTTTTTCAGGTGGAATGTGCAGGTTTTTTATGTAATTACTGAGAGTTACTGAGTGTATGTCTATATACCAGTTTTCTCAAATGAAATTATTTTTCCAGTATGCTTTTATGGATCTTGAATATGTATATAGTAGTTATCTGTACGTAGAAAGATATATAATGATTTAATACAGGTACTTGGCTTGATTTCAGTTCTAAATAGTTGGGTGTGCTCAATATAATATTATAATATTTAATATAAGTGAGTATAATCCGCAATGCTCTTGTAGCGTGCTCATCTTATAAAATTTGTTTCAGGGTTAATTTTATGCTATTTTGTAACTCAAACTACTCTTTGATTAAGTTTTTTGTCTTAAAAGTTCATTCTCCATTCCCACAGATACAGCTTTCAGTTAGGGGCAGCTTGCAAAACTGAATGTGTTGCTTTGTTTCAGAACTCGGATGGCTGACATGTGAATACAGTCTTGATGTCTTGTGTAGTTCAGCTACAACTTTAGAGGGGATTTGTCTCGACTGCATAAGTTTTGGCAGAAAAATAAGCATTTTTCCCTTGGTAGAGGGAGCAGTGTCTTCCCTGCTGATGCAGGAACCTGGGGATAGTGTCTGACCCCAGTGCTGGGAGGATCCTCTGCTCTTGCTGGTGTTAGAGGGAAGTTTTTTTTAGAAGTTAACTTAAATTTTAAAAAAAAATTAGAAATCCAATTACACTTTTTCTATGCTGAATATCTGTGAAGAAATGCACAGGTCTATATAGATTGTCATTCTTAATATGCACATCACTTATTTTGTTATGACTGTAATTAGAAGTTCTTAGAAATAACATAAGACTTTTGCTGAACTATTCATCAGAAGAATTGCTAAAGATCATAAAATACTTGTAAATAAAAATTTAGTGAATTAATTAATTTATTACTTATGCTGATAAATATTCATTATACTTCTGCAGAAAACAATATTTATTTATTTTGTGAGGATAATTAGGTTTAAATATAATTTAATAATTTACTGATTTTAGCTATAAGCCTGCAAAATCTTGCATCTGCATTTAAATGAATGTTTTAACAATCCCAGCAAGTCTGGAAAGCAAAATAAAAATTTAGGTATGTTATTATCAAAATAGCTAAGTGCAAAGGGTTATATTCATGCATGTCCTTTTCTTGTTTGTCCTTCATAAATTAAATTCTAACAGTAGTGAATAAAGCAAGAGTGTGAGCTAGGAGCTTTTTCTTCAAGTGATAATCAGTAACATAATGGTAAAACATTGTATTCTAAGGGTAATAAATTAGATGGTATAAGAATGCTGAATTTTAAATGCCCATTCTTTTGAGACTGTTTCAGTTAATGAAAAATAACAAACTAGCACAGGGATTAGATGAACGCAAAGAAAACTTAATCCGTTTGCTTTGTTATGACAAGAGGAAGCTGAAGGATCCTTGGTCCTATCCCATTATGCCTATGTCTAGTAAATTAATAGCTGTTTTGTACTAGCACACTAGAACATGTTTCCTAGGAGAGCAGGACTTCATATTTGCAAGGTAAAAACAAGTACAAGATTAATTTAAATTCTAAATTTCTCCTGTTTTTTAAAATTAAGATAAATCTTCTAGCTCCCTCTCCCTGCAAAGAATCAAAAATTAAATTCATGAGTCTTTGAAAAAAGCATTTTTTTTCTACTATTCAGAAGCTTTCTGTGTTCCCTGAATTAGTGAATTCATACATCAAAGATGTTTTTTCCAAAAGTTACAATGCTTTATTTTCTTATTGCTCAGCTGATGGACATCACTGCCTCCTAAATACATATTAAATAAAGTGAGATCAGAGTATTTCAGGTAAATTGTACAAAAAAAAAAAAAAAGTGAAGGCTAGCATAAAAACATCATGATGTAAGTATTTATTATGTTCATAAACACCTGAAATTGAGTAGAGCAAATTCAATAATATGATAAATAATTCTTTATTTGCATGGCAGATTTTATAGTCCATTGAACTTTAGTGCTGGAAATTATAGGTTTATAGATTAGTGTGTCAGCAAAGCACATGTTAATGTAGCAAGAGATGCTATCAAAAGAAGTATTTTCAGTTTCTTTCCCCTCTCTTACTGACATATTGACACATAAACTCAACAATTGACAGAATTGACAACTCCAGGGCTCAAAAATGGGAACAAAATAACGACAGAAAGGGAGGGGCTTTGTGAAATTGTATTTCAGTGACGTAGAAGCAGTCACTGAAATACAATTCCCAGTGCTGTTGGAAAGAAATTATCCACGTGGAAAGGAGTTGTCCGTGTCTAATCAAAGCAGGAAGGAAGATCTCTCAAAGTGAGGCCTGTGTGATTCTGCCCTCTCCTTGAACCTCGAAAAAGTGAAGTGTCTCTTGCTCCAGAGAAGAAACCAGTGGGCAGTGTTGCCTTCTCTCACCCTGGAGGCCTTTTCATAGAGACTTGTGTATATATGTGTGGGAGATGGTATTTTTGGAAGGTTTTTTTTTCCCCCATCTAAAATTCTTCCTGAATAATTGAGTATGTTTGTGTTTGTGCCCACATTTATGTGAGAGAGTGTGTGGTGGGGAGAATGGTGATAAAACACAAAGGAATTCTTAATGGAAACTTGAAAATACATGTCTTATATTTTTGCCTTTCAAACCCAAAAGCCAGTCAATAAAGTTTCTCTGGGACAGGAGGGAACATGACAAAACCTATTTAAAGCTCAGTGTACCTCAGGTAGTCCACTAAAATGTGTTATTGAATACTTCAGTGCATGAAGCAGCTTGTTGTGTTTGATGGTATAGGTGTTTTTTTTATCTGAGCTTAACAGAAGTAGATTCTAAGTGCTGAAGATACTTAAAAGCCTATGAAGAGGTTGATAGTGATTTTTCTATTAAGTGTTGTCTAAGTAGTGATTTTTCTATTAAGTGTTGTCTAGTCAAAGACAACTTTTCCGACTTCATTTTCAAAGAGTACTGTGTCTTTTTATGTGCTCTTACCTATGGTCAGGCTTTAGTAACTCTTGGAAACTGCCCGTAAAACAGGGCAACACTGTTTCAATTGTAGTTTAGGGATACAATTTTTTATACTTTCCTGGCTCTGTCTTGGGACAGGACCAATTGAAACTCCACCAGGGCCCAGATCCATAGAAGTTACAGGATATCATTGACCTCTCATTGACCCTTCATTTTTCCCTGGCCTGATTTCCTATCTGTCTAAAACTTGCCATGACATAAAAAAGCCTCTAACCCCACTCTTTCTAATTTTGACTGGGGGAGGTAGTGAGGGGTGGATGGGAATGGGGGACAGGAGCAGGCCATTGCATCTGCTGGGGAGGGAACTTGCTGGGGGAGACCACAGGACTATTGGTTAACAAATGAATTTGACTTCAAAATACTGAAAAGCTGAAAAAAGAATTTCCTAAAATAGCATGTTACCAGTAGGTCTATTAATCAGCAATACAAGGTCAAGGAATTTCCTACATGCTTGGCTGATTTGACAACTGCATCTGAAGTGAGTCCAGCTGCAACTTAAGTTTCTGCATGTCTAGAGAGTGACAACTAACTTTATATTGCCTTTAGAACTAGGGCATTGTTTGGTCACAGCAGACTTAGGATTGGGTATTAGTATGTCCTGTGTGTATTTGAGACTGTTATCTAAACCGTGTTTGTGAACACTTTATCCTGCCTCTATACAGTGGAGCAGAGAAAAGATTTGTATAGAAACATTCAAATGCAATTCAAGAGCTGAAGGAACTCAAACAGAACTGCCAGAGTGATTCATTTTTCTGTCAATCAGTGAAAATTCTAGTGGGTTATTAGGGATTTTGCCTCAAAATTATTTTGCCTTCATACTGTGATTATTGCACTTACCTTTAATGAAGTGAGAGATTGAAGACCTAAAAAATACTACATATTACATGATCTCTGTGAAAAGTATGAAAATTTAGATGATATCTTTATTTCTGTTAGGCTTTACGCTTTGGTGAACAGCACTGATAAGAGGCATGTGTTAAACTACTGCCCCACATTAATTTTCTTTGCTTGTAAAATTGCTGTTTTATTTGTTTCTGTATTGTGGGGATATAGAGAGGAAAGCTTCACATAACTTTTAAGTGTCTCTCTGTTGCTCTCAAAAACATGGGGAAGTGTTCATTTTATTTGTTCCACTCAAAGTGGAGGACAAACAATAGTATTGGAAATATGTACTCTGAGGAGCATCAAATTAAGCTTTTACTTCTGAACCAAATAAATGGAAATGTATCAAGACTTAAAATTAATTCACTGATTTAAAAAAAGTAAGGCTTTTGCAAATGCTGTTACACAGACAAATTAACATGTTTGTTTTTACTTTGTAACTGTAGTACATTTACTCCTAAAATGCAAGGCAGACGGATGGGGACTTCAGGGAGAATCACAAAGAGCACAAGTGTGAGCGGAGAGATGTACAAGCTGGAGCACATTGACGGGAGCCAGTCGGACACGGCTGTCGGCATGGTTGGAACAGGTGGGAAGAAAAGGCGTTCCAGCTTTAGTGCCAAGGTGGTTGCCATAGTGTCTCGAAGGAGCAGAAGCACATCTCAACTTAGTCAAACAGGTGAGTGAGGCACACACTTTTTGGAAACAGGACTCTCACCAAACATGGTTTACCATAATTTCATCTGTGGCATCTGTGTTACATGTATATGCATATAGACTGCTCAAGAGAGAAGATTTTCCAGCTGTAAATAAATTTCTGAGATAATAATTTTCTTGGATTATTAAACATCTGCAAGAAACAATATACAAATGTCTTTTAGAATATGTGGTGTAGTTACTTTCTGTCCTGATCAATGGAAACTGTTGTCTCCTAGAAGCCTTGTTTACAGGTAGGTCAGGCAATGCAAAGAGACACATGTTGGTATCAGCAGTGGATAATGGTTTGCTAAGACCAGCTTTTTATGTATGAATGTGGGAACTGAAATCTGAGCAAATGAATGGCAGTTCGGAATGCAACTTCAGAGGTTGTACCTGTAGTGGCATAAAATACGTTTTTAAAGATTACTTTTGTTTTTTAAGTCAAGAGCTAATACAATATTTTATTTTTTGTAAGTAATACTGGCAAGTTGAGGTCAGTGATTTCAGATAAATTAGATGATAACATGATGCTTCATTAGGAGCATAAGCCTTCCAACTCTGTATTGTGACTCCAGAAATCTTAAAAGCTTCATATCAGCATAGCCTCTGGGAACAAAAGCCCATACAGAAAGATAAAAAAGGGAAGAAGAATGTTTTAAAGCCCCTGTCCTGCTCCTGAACCCCAGTGAAGACTTCTGCTTTTGTCTTCATTGGGAGCAGGACCGCACCCTAAGGGTCCTTTCTTACTAAGAGAAGGAAAACAAAAAGGAAAAGCTTCAGCCTAGCATGCAATGCACTCATATTTCAGCATTCCTCTCACATAGTCAGGGTATCTAAAATAAGGTAAGTAACAATATTGTTTATTTATATCATCAAATATTTTCCCCCTTTCCCCTGGTTTTCTTTGATTGCCAGGTGAGCAGTAGAATTGACTCTTTTACATTAAAGCTTGGTCAGCTCTAATAAGAAGATTGTTATACTTTTCTACACTACTCATGAATTTTAAGCCAAAAAGTATATAATCATGCAGTTGAACCAAATGATAAATGAAACTGGTGTATTTGAAGCCCAGAACTGTAATTAATATTGTATTGTTCAAGAATGCACTGTGACTAAGTATGAGACTAGAATATAGATAGTTGTACACAGTAAGATGCTATTTTAGATGTATCAGAATCAATGGCGTGCTCTGTAAGTAATAAAAAGTGGTGTTGTCATGTAGAAAGGATTTCTATGCTGATATTTTGATCCACTTAAAATCTGAGCTGTGACTTCCAAGCACTTCTCAGTATCTTCTATTTAAAGCTCACATTTTTCTAATCCTCGTAGAAATGTACTATAGCTCTCCAAGTTTTGCTTAGAGTAAATTTCAAAACAATAGGAATTTTGCAAGGAATGGAACTTCTAAAGTTTTCCTGAAACTCAAAGAGCAAATCAAATATGAAAAACATGATTATGTATTATTCATGATGGTAAAACAGTTTAGAATCATCTTTATCTTTTCTTGTTTTGACTCAGGCTAAGAGTATTATCCATGGCATAATCAGAGCTAATAAAAATGTGTCATTTTTTGTCAGTCACTAATTTTGAGTTTTGTCAAAAATCAGCGAACTAAATTCATGCATTTTTTAGAACAATATGCACATCAGACTTGATAGATTTTCCAAATGACATGGTTGGAGGCTAAGTACTCATGTTCTAAATCAGAGACCCACTTCCCTTCCTTTCTGTATTATACAAGATGAGAGGAGAAATCTAAAAATGTCTATTTCATTTTAATGAGTTGTGCAACTTATTAATGTCTCCACTATTGAGATTATAGAAAATTTCTGTTATGACAATGTAATATATACTGGGTACTTCTTTTAAATTTATTATGTGAAAATTGTTTCTAATAGTCAAGTTCTGAAGTTTTGGAACTGGTGTGAAAATTCATGGGCCTCAAAAAGTGGTGCCAAGTAGGAACCTCAGGAACTGGAGGTGTGCTGGTGATGCAGTATATGTATTTTAAAGGAAGTATAAAAATATAGAAATAAGTGTGTAGCCTCCATCAGTTGTTCAGGTTTTATTTCTATGACATGCATGATTATAAGTGAGGGAAGCATGACACAGTTATTTGTTTCTGAAAACTCAAAATAGAATATCAGAAATAAAAATGCTGATTTTTTTAAAAGTATAGTTCTATATACTATACTTTTAAAAAAAGTATAAAGTTCTATATTCTTATTAATTGAGTAGATCTGAAATTCTAGTTACTGCTGTCTGCAAAGCCAGTAAAGTTTATTACTGTCTTGCTGTTTTCACTTGAAGAAATGGTCAAAAATGGCTGAACTTGACTTTTTGTAAATAATTCTTCCTTTTAACATACTGCATGGGCTTGATGTTATATAAAAATGGAAGTGGTGTGTATGGAACTGCTGCAAGGTAGCTATTATTTATTATTTGATTTTCTATTCAGCTGAAAAGGGAGTGTGTGTGCGTGAACCTGTGCACACGTTTGTGTCTACATACATACACACATGGATTTCATTGCACATGTGGAGCAGATCCTTGCATGCTGAAGTTAGAGGGACCAGTAATGATTATTTTACACACCCTGTTCAGTGCTGTTGGAAAATATTTATTCAGAATATGTGCCTTTTAAATTATTAGTGAAAGAATTGATTTCTATTTTTATGTAAACCTGCAATGACATTATGGATTTTTGCTGCACCTTCCTTTTGTGTTTAAGATTTCATAAAACTTGTAGTAACTGTTCTGTGAAATGCCTACTTAATATGTATTTGTTCATTGTGCCCACAAATTGGATAGGTTAGACAGTTCACCAGGAAAAGCTTTTAATCTTCTTCTGACAATATTCCTAATGAAAATCAAGCTCTTCTTATGTTATCACAGTTACAAAGAATAAAAAGAAAAGGGAAGAAAAAAGAAGCAAAACTCCCCAAATGACCACAGAAAATTGAAAATAGCTCCAGGCATACATAACCATTTTAGCTGTAATGCAACTTTTCTAGCTTTCTTTGTCAGCCTTATTTTGGTAAATAAATATACACATATATACAGAAGAAATATGTAACTGCCAATTTTCTGAATATAGCAACTAAACTTTAAATCAAGGAAAAATTCTAAGGGAACTAGCTTAGAGTAAAAAATCATCATCAGTTGTCTTGATTTTGTGTTACAACACTATTCCTTTCTACAGAAAATCTTACCTTGTAGTTTCCATATCAATGAGGCCAGTATTGATCATATCACATTTTGATTCGGGGTTCTGGGTTTGTTTTGAATGAGATAAAAACTTTTGTAATAGGAGGGAAGAATTTTATCACACAATTTGTACCATATATAGAGACATACTAATGCATTTCAAAGTGGATAGAAGCAATCTATCCCCAATCACCCCAAAGGGCAGGTATCATCAGTGAAATGAGTCCTGGAGGGAAGGAAAATCTTAATCTCAGATAAAAAGAAGTATTCCCATCCCTGGATCCCTTTCAGTTCTGCTACATGCAGACATGTGCCTTAAGAAAGCAAAAGAACTCCTCCCTTTTGCTTTCTACCCCTGGTCAGCAGATAGTGCTTCAGAAAGATCATCTATTTGTAGAAGCATATTTTTCTTCTCTTTAAGTGCCAGCAGTGGCTTGCAACTATTTTGAAACAGATGAGAGTGGAAGAGATGTAGAGAAGGAGAGCTAAGGAGCTTAGAAGAATGGGCAGCATTTCTAGTTTGACATTACACTGATACCAGGTCAATTTTCTCAATGAACATACCTTGCCATGTTTCTGGTGTGAACCGCACACCATAATGAGATTTCTCTGTGTAAGAACCAAAGTTATTTGCTTTCCATCTTCTGTTGGTGAAGTTCAACATCAACAACCTGAAATGAAGCCATAGGCATTAATGTTTCAAAGACAAATTAGATACCATGAAGCAGAGCTCAAATCAAGTGTTGTCACAAGGTAAAAACAGAATGAAGAAAAATTATTTTCATTTATGTGTGTCTCTGAAGTGGATACTTGGAGGGAATCTTGAAGTGTTTTTCTGCTTCCCTCAGGAAGTAACTTGCAACCTGAGCAGAAACACTAAATTAGAACATATTTCCTTATATAAAAACTAGAATTTCCTGCTAAGGTATATTTTCTGTCATTATCTGTAATTTGCTCTAAAAAGAAGTGACTTTCTCTATGTTCTTTTGAATTAAGCTCCAAATTCCCAATTTCAGATAAAATTGTATCATCTAAGTGAGGAAATTGTTGCTGAGCAGTAAAGTTCTGATAGGGGTGCATCCCACAGTATATCTATGCTCTTTTTGTGAGCTCACTGCAGCTTAAAGAGCTCTTCCTCATCCAGTTGATTGTCCCACCTTTCACCTTCCAAGACTGGTCTCAAGGCAGCTTTCTCTCATGGCTGGATGATAGAAGTTAAGGTAAAAATTTAGAAAATAAAACCTCATCCATTACTCTGTTGATGGAGACTGTGATGGTTCACTGGAGGTACTTAGTGACTGTTAACAAGCAGTCAGGGTTGTGCAAAAAAAACCCCTTGCTTGAAAACAGAAATTTAAGCAAAGCAATGCTTAAATTGAGCCTTCCAGACTCAGAGCTACCTCATTTCAAAGCAGACACTGGCATTAAAAAAAAAAAAAAAAGAAAAAGAAACCCAAACAAAAAGTGAGGAAATTGTTGCTGAGCAGTAAAGTTCTGATAGGGGTGCATCCCACAGTATATCTATGCTCTTTTTGTGAGCTCACTGCAGCTTAAAGAGCTCTTCCTCATCCAGTTGATTGTCCCACCTTTCACCTTCCAAGACTGGTCTCAAGGCAGCTTTCTCTCATGGCTGGATGATAGAAGTTAAGGTAAAGATTTAGAAAATAAAACCTCATCCATTACTCTGTTGATGGAGACTGTGATGGTTCACTGGCGGTACTTAGTGACTGTTAACAAGCAGTTGCTTGAAAACAGAAATTTAAGCAAAGCAAT